CACCCAAACTGCCCACCCATCCATCCACCCATCTTTCCATTCACCTACCCATCTATCCATTCATCCAACTATCCACCCACCTACCCACCTGTCCATCCACCCATCCATGTGTTTAACCACCCATCCACCTACTTATCAGTCCATCCATCCATCCCCTGTCTATCCCTCCATCCACCTACCAGCCATCTATCCATCTGTCTAACCAACCTTCCATCCACCTACACACTCATCCAGCCATCCACCTATCCATTTACCTACCCATCCATCCATCCACTCATTCATCCACCCACCTGCTATCCACCCATTTAACCATCTACTCACCTGTCCACTCCTCACACCCACCCACCCACCTACCTACCTGCCCATCAACCCACTACCTATCCCTCCCTCCATCTACCTGTCCACACAGCCGTCCATCCACCTGTCTACCACCCACTCCCCTACTTATACCTCCTACACTTCCCCCACATTTACGCACCCACCTGTCGATCCACCAGCTGACACCTACTGCGTGTGTCTGGCCTGGGGTGGCGGAGGTGGTCACGTATCGCTAGTGGGGACCCGGCTTTCCATCACTGCCTCTCCCGTCCCAGTTGATGATGGTGACGGCTATGAGACGGACCACCAGGATTACTGCGAAGTGTGCCAGCAGGGCGGGGAGATCATCCTGTGCGACACCTGCCCGCGGGCCTACCACCTGGTGTGCCTAGACCCTGAGCTGGAGAAGGCTCCCGAGGGCAAGTGGAGCTGTCCGCACTGTGTATGTCGGGGCGCGTGGACTGGGGGCGGTGCGGCGTGGGGAGGAGCCAGGAGGGAGGGCCAGCGTGCATCCACCTGGACTCCTCCAGGAGAAGGAGGGCATCCAGTGGGAGCCGAAGGACGAAGATGATGAGGAGGAGGAGGCCGGCTGTGAGGAGGAGGAGGACGATCACATGGAGTTCTGCCGCGTGTGCAAGGATGGTGGCGAGCTGCTCTGCTGTGACGCCTGCCCGTCCTCCTACCACCTGCACTGCCTCAACCCGCCGCTGCCCGAGATTCCAAACGGTGAATGGCTCTGCCCGCGCTGTACTGTGAGTGTTACGCCGCCCCTCCCCGCCCCATGCCCCCTAACAGTGTCAGGCCTCGCCCACCGAGGACGGCCCCGCCCACGGCCCACCAATCTGAGCACGCAACCCTGCAGGCGCCGGCCACACCCCAACCAGCCCACCACACAGCCCCGCCCAGGCGGCTCCAGGCCACGCCCCACCTCACCCGGATCTGTCGGGTAACCTCCCAGCGGCTGTTTACTGAGCTTGCACCGTGTGCCAAGGCTCAGCCGGCGTACACTGCGTCCTTTGCACTTTACTAAGAGTACCAGGGCTGAGTTTTTGTTATTCCTGTTTTCAGATGAGAACGTTGAGGCTCAGGGAGGTGAAGTGCCTGGCTTAGGGCCACACACCATCCCAGATCTCTAGCACTGTGCACGACCTGGCTCCCACCCCAAGCTGGGTTTTGCAGAGGGTAGGAGGCTCCAGATGTTGGAGCCCCAGCTTGTGCAGGGAGAGGAGAGCGTACCCGACACCCCACCCCTTGCTTCCAGTCATGGCAGGCATGTTAAGCTCCAACCCTGACTCTGACTTGTCTCCTACCCACCCGTGGGCTTGTGTGTGTATGTGTTTGTGCTGTGCACACGTGCGCACATGTCCGTGTATGTGGGGGGTCCGGGGCCACCGGACAGGTGCACCTCTTCAGCTTTCCTGGAACGCTGCTCTGGGGTTGGGGGAGGCAGGAGCTTGGTGCCTCCCAGCCCCATCGGACTCCCAGAGCCACATAGGGGCTCTTCCTCCTCTCCTGTTGGCTTCCACTCTGAGGCAGAACCAGGGTGATTTGGGGTGAGTTCCCAGCCCTAGAAGGCCTGTGTGTGACCGGACACCAACAGATCTGGGAGGGAGGCTGCCGAACAAGCTCCGGCAGCTGCACAGGGCCGATGGGCAGAGCTGGGACCCGCCGTCCTTACCCTGCTCAGCCTCCCTTGAGGCCCAGAGCTGCGTGCTCAGTGTGCTGGTGGCTTCGGTGACACCCTGCCACGCCCCAGAGCCGCAGAATCCTGGGTCCCTGAGTGTGTTTCCAGGATGGAGACCAGGCTCCCTGCATAGTGCACTTGTATGGGGCCTGGGTGCGGCCCTGCTCAGGGGTGGCAGAGGTGGGCGGGGTTGTAGTCCGGTGTGTGGGTCTGGGTGTGACATGTTCTCTGGGGCCTCTAAGCAGGACTCAGGACAGAGAGGGAACCCATGGTCACAAGGAATCTGAAGCCTTGGCTTCTACATCCTGCTCTGTGGTCCCTCGTGGACAGAGCCTTCCTTTTCCTGCCGTCCTGGGTCTTGGTGGTCTCAACCAGCCTGGCTCAGGTTGGCCAAATGTGAAAGTCCCCATACTGCCTTGTCCTGTGGTGCTCCTGAGAATGAAAGGGAACTGTGGGGTCACCGTGGCACTGACTTGGGGACCCTGCATCGGTTTGAGGGAGTCTGTAAAACAGCCTGCTGTCGTGGGAGCCTCAAGGTGGAGCCTGGCAGCTAAGTCCTGAACTTGGGGACCCTCTTCTGTCCACAGTGTCCCCCACTGAAGGGCAAAGTCCAGCGGATTCTACACTGGAAGTGGACGGAGCCCCCGGCACCCTTTGTGGTCGGGCTGCCAGGACCTGACATAGAGCCGGGAATGCCTCCGCCCAAGCCCCTGGAGGGCATCCCCGAGAGGGAGTTCTTTGTCAAGTGGGCCGGGCTCTCCTACTGGCACTGCTCCTGGGTGAAGGAGCTGCAGGTGAGGCACCTGGGCAGGTGCGACTGCTCATCTCTGCACTGCCCAGCCTCCAGGGATTGGGAGCTGGGCCCGGGGACACGGGACAAGGCCCATCTTCCCGACCTTCTGTGCCCCCCCCCCCGAGCAGCTGGAGCTGTACCACACCGTGATGTACCGCAACTACCAAAGAAAGAATGACATGGACGAGCCGCCACCCTTCGATTATGGCTCTGGCGATGAGGATGGCAAGAGCGAGAAGAGGAGGAACAAGGACCCGCTCTACGCCAAGATGGAGGAGCGCTTCTACCGCTATGGCATCAAACCCGAGTGGATGATGATCCACCGCATCCTGAACCACAGGTGTGTGCCACTGGGGTGGCCCTGGGCTGGCAGGCGCCTCAGGGCCGTGGGGCTGCGACACATTGCCCCATTCCCCGACTGATGGTCTGCGAGCTGTGCATGGAACAAGAGCCTCCTGTGCTCCCGGCTCCTGCTGAGTTAGTGCTCAGTGCCTGGGGCAGTTGTGAGGCCTGGCAAAGGGCCAGAGGCGTGGTGGATGTACACCTCCCGTGTTATGGCAGCAGCTGGCACTCCTGAGGGCAGCCATCCCAAAGCGCAAAGGCGAGGATATACACAGCAAGGTCAAGTCACATGGCTGAGGTGGGGGAGCTGGGATTCGAACCCAGCGTCTTCTGAGGGCAGGACCTACTCTTTGTGCTGCTGTTCCAACCCCCAGTGCTCTTAGTTGAGCAGTCTTGAAAGCCCCAGGTGATGAGGCCAGCAGAGGCTGAGGAGCTAGGATGAGGAGTAATCCATCGGAGGAGCCTGCTGATTCTTGAGCTCCAGTGCTTGAGTTCAGGCAGTGGCCTGGGTGGCAGCAGGAGCTCTGCACGCCTCAAACTACCTGGCTGTGCCTGGTGTGGTGTGGTTAGGGCTGGTGGCTCCCACTGTGTGTGTCCCTGGCTGCAAGGTTCTGGGGGTGCCGTCTCTGGGGGTGCAGAGTGTAAGAACTAGGCCACACTCTGACTCCCCCCTGGATTTCCCATCTTCTGGCCTCTGTGGTGTCGGCTCCTGTGGGGTGGCTTGCTGTGGGTCTCCCAGGGTTTGCTAGCGTGGCCGGAGTGGTGGGGGGCTATAGGGCTTGAAAATGCTGCTCTGTCCCCTGCCCAGCCCTCCTGAAGGCTGGATCCCAGGAGCCTGAGCCCAGTGCTGCACAGATGGAAGCTTTCCAGTGCCTCCAAGTGGGCCAGGTGCCTCTTCTGGGTTTTAGTCCTCAGAATTGGCATAAAACCAATGATTTATACAAAAAACTCATGACTGGGGATTGGTCTTGCTCTTCATGGTCCCCAGGCTGGCTGTAGCCCCTGCACCCTGTTTGCCTCACCAGCTGCCACTTAGGGATGCCAGGCTCTGCGGCCCTGCCACACTCCCAGGCCTGCTGTCCTGATCCACCTGAGGTGTGGACACCCTCTGCCACCCCTGCAGTGGTCAGATCAGCTATGTGCTGCTGGGCTGGGTCTTTGCATCCCTGTGTCCCTGGGGTGTTTGGAAGAGGCCACTCCCCTCCCGCCCCAGTTACTTTTTTGCCTCCAGTGCAGAGATCGGCCCCTCCCCAGGGATGGGCACTGCCTCAGTCCTTTGGCTTTTTAAATTAGAAAACAAAGTTGGGTGTGGTGACAAAAACCTGTAATCCAGCACTGGAGAGGCTGAGGCAGGAGGATTGTGATGAGTTTGAGGCCAACCTGGGAGATTTAGACCTTATCTCAAATTAAAAACCAAACCAAACCAAGCCAAACAAAAAAGAAGACACAGTTCCTGTGTCTGACAACCCGACCCGAGGGGACCCCTCCCTGCAGCAGAGGCTGGAAGGACAAAGGATGCTAGAGGCTGGCTCCTGGTGCCTCTCAGCTCCGTGTTCTTCTGTCCCTTGTGGGGGAGTCTTGCTTCCCCACCAGAGCTGTGTGGCCTCAGGCAGGGCCTCCTGTGGTTCTCTGGGTGCTGGGGATGGCGGGCGGTACAAGTGCCCTCTGTCCTGCGAGGGGCCCTGCCTCATCCCTGTGCCACCCTGGGGACTGCTTCTCTCCACCATCAGTTTTCTGTGTCGCAGCTTTGACAAGAAGGGGGACGTGCACTACCTGATCAAGTGGAAAGACCTGCCCTACGACCAGTGCACCTGGGAGATCGACGACATCGACATCCCCTACTATGACACTCTGAAGCAGGCCTACTGGGGCCACAGGTGGGCCGTGCCACCTGGCAGCTGGGCACTGGCCAGGGCCCACCCAGCCCCAGCTTTGCTCACACGGGTGGCACATCTTCCCTAGGGAGTTGATGCTGGGGGAGGATGCCAGGCTGCCCAAGAGGCTCATCAAGAAGGGCAAGAAGCTGAAGGACGACAAACAAGAGAAGCCGCCCGACACACCCATTGTGGATGTGAGTGGGGTTGCTGGAGAGGCTGGTCCTCAAGACCCCGGCTGTGTGCCAAGTCACAGCCCGGGAACAGGGCCGTGGGAAGGCGGCGGGATGGCTGACAGCTGGCCGCTAATTACCCCATTCCTGCATGCAAGGAGTGCCATGGATCTGACTGGCAGCACTCTCTGGGGTTTCTGCCAGCACCTGGCACTGGGGGCACAGGGTTAAAGAGCCCTGGGCCCTGTTTCAAGAAGTGCAGCTTTCCCCAGGGATGGAATCAACAGCTAGGGAAGGTGAGTGCATCCCTGCCGTCCACTGAGCACAGGGCCTGGGCCTGGACACATCCGTCCACCATCCGTCTGATGCTATTGAACAAATGCCCCATATGTGTCCAGGCACCGTGTGCGTTTTGGAGGAAGCGGGGACCAGGGCCAACGTGGTCACGACACTCTGGGCTCTAAAGCAGAGATTCAGCAGCCAGGGATTTCCCTGCTGGAAGGAGGCCGGGGTTCTGAGCCAGGATCTGCAGAGGAGTCAGGATGGTGGGGTGGGGCGGGCAGGAGGAAGCGCGGTAAGGGGCTCGGGTGACCAGGACTCTGAGCGGCTGGGCCTCCACCTCCCACAGCCCACCGTCAAGTTCGACAAGCAGCCATGGTACATCGATGCCACCGGCGGCACACTGCACCCGTACCAGCTGGAGGGCCTCAACTGGCTGCGCTTCTCCTGGGCTCAGGGCACCGACACCATCCTGGCTGATGAGATGGGTCTGGGCAAGACGGTGCAGACCATCGTGTTCCTCTACTCCTTGTATAAGGAGGTGGGGCCCGGTCGGCGGAGGGAGGGGCCGCTGGCCTGGGAAGGAGCCTCATGTGGATGTCTCTCCGCAGGGCCACTCCAAGGGACCCTATCTGGTCAGCGCGCCCCTGTCCACCATCATCAACTGGGAGCGCGAGTTCGAGATGTGGGCGCCGGATTTCTACGTGGTCACTTACACGGGAGACAAGGAGAGCCGCTCCGTGATCCGCGAGAATGAGTTCTCCTTCGAGGACAATGCCATTCGGAGTGGGAAGAAGGTGTTCCGCATGAAGGTGACAGGCTCTGTCCCACCACGGGGCCCCAGGAGCCCCCTGCCCAGTCCTAGGCAGGCGAGGCAGTGTACCAGCTGCCCGTAACGACAGATGGGAGCATTGCTTTTTTCTTTTTTGGTGGAGGAGTACAGATGATTGCACCCAGGGCCTCCACTGTGAACTCCATCCCCAGCCCTTTTTTATTTTGAGATGGGGTCTTGCTAAGTCATTAAGTTGCTTGGGGTCTGGGCTTGACCTTGAGATCCTCGTGCCTCAGCTTCCTGGGGTGCTGGAATTGCAGTCATGCACTACCAAATCCAGCACTTTTTCCTTTCTTGATCTGCCATGAGCAGGTGTATCTGTTTGTCACATTCTCTGAGCACTGGATTCTGAGTGAGTGCAGTCCTCCGGCAGCCTGATCCTGCCTGCGGTTTGCTCATGGAATACAGACCTGATCCCTCGCACCAGCAACCGGGTTCAGGCAGAGTGTGACCATGGTTGCTGGGCAGGAGCAGGAGGGGGTGGAGGCCGAGAACTGCCCCAGGGTCACAGGACCTCTGTGAGTGCACGTCACCACCCACAGGACTTTCTGTGCAAAACAGACTCAACACTGAAATGCTTTAGAATTTTAAGTCAGTAATGCAGAAAAGGCATTAAGACCCCAGAGAGTTCTGCAGCCTGATGCCTGTGGGCTTGAGAGGGGACTAGAGGAGCAGCTCACGGGGTTCCTGAGGATGAGGGGAGAGGCATGGAGCAGTTGCCTTGGCACCCTGGGGGTAGTTCTAGGACCCCGCAGACCCCACAATCCTTAAGCCCTTTCTATCCAATGCTGTAGGATTTGCGCACACCTACCTTCATTCTCCTGTCTCTATCACCTCTGACTTACAAGCCTGCACATTTTTACTATGGGTGAAATGTTTTTTTTAAGCGTTTTCCCTATGAGGGTGGCTGAGTCTGTGGGTGGGCACCTGCATGTCCCAAGGACAGTTTATTTTTCCTTGTTGGCAATTCCACTCTGGAAGTACTGTGCAGTGCTCTGGGCTTCAGCTGACCCTTCTGCTGGTGGTTGCTGTCTTCTCCATCCCCCTGGGGCTCTTTGGAGTCTTTGTGAGGTTCCTGTCCATGCTTCTTTAAAAAAAAAATATTTTCATCTTTTGTCTTTTTGTGACCAGGGTCTCTCTATGTAGTTCAGGCTGGCCTTGAACTCACCGCAGTCCTGCTCCAGCCTCCCAACAGCTGGTATTACACCTGGCTGGCTCTACCCTTGCCCCTCGACTGTCTCCCGAGACTGGTCTGCTGTGTCCCCAGCTGCACCCTCCACCTTCTCCTCTTTCCTTCCAGAAAGAAGTGCAGATCAAATTCCACGTCCTCCTCACCTCCTATGAGCTCATCACCATTGACCAGGCCATCCTGGGTTCCATCGAGTGGGCCTGCCTCGTGGTGGATGAGGCCCACCGGCTCAAGAACAACCAGTCCAAGGTGTCTGGCAGTGGCTGTGGGGCTCGGGCTGCCCTGGATGGGGGTGCCCCTGCAACCCCTGACCAGCCCCCTCTGCTCCCTGAAGTTCTTCAGGGTCCTGAACAGCTACAAGATCGATTACAAGCTGCTGCTGACAGGGACCCCTCTTCAGAACAACCTGGAGGAGCTTTTTCATCTCCTCAACTTCCTCACCCCCGAGAGGTTCAAGTGCGTTCCCTGGGCCTGGTGGAGGGGCGGCCAGGCTGGGGGCCCCATCAGATGAGGCAGGAAGCCAGGGCCCAGGAGTGAGGTGGGGGGCAATATGGACCCCATTTCTCATCCTCTTCCTCTCCCCTACCCCTGTTCCTGCCCAGAGTAGAGTGGGGGTTCTGGGTGAAGACTTAGAACTTTGGGTTTTAGAGAGCAGGTGTGGCTCCTAGGTTGGGGCCCCCAGGGCTTCAGTTTCCCCGTCTGTAACCTGTTAGTAGTCCTGGAAAGCTCTTGTCCTGAATGGAGACACAGTTTTAGAAGGAGACCCAGGGCCGTGCCCAGGTCCCTGGCCCTCTCCTGTGTCTTCCCTGCTCCCATCTTGCTGTTCCCCGAGGAGGGCTCTGTGCTCCCGTCCTCTGCCCTGGCTCTTAGCCTGCTCTTCATCGCAGCAACCTGGAGGGCTTCCTGGAGGAGTTTGCAGACATCTCTAAGGAGGACCAGATCAAGAAGCTGCACGACTTGCTGGGGCCACACATGCTGCGGCGGCTCAAGGCGGATGTGTTCAAGAACATGCCGGCCAAGACCGAGCTCATTGTGCGCGTGGAGTTGAGCCAGATGCAGAAGTGAGTGGTGAGGCTGTGCTGCCGTCCCCTGCTGTCCCTTCAGCTGGCCTCCCCTCTACGCTTCCAGGGCTGGGTGGGGAGGAGCTTCTGCCCCCACCTTGACTCACGAGTGGCAAGCCCTCCCTTCTTGGGGCTGCTTCTCAGCTCCGAGCAGGGTGACTCTGGGCCCATGGATTCCCTTCTGGGGGCGCCCAGGATGTAGCGCCTGGCTGTGGCGAGTGCCCCTTGAAGGCCGGCCAGGCCCAGTGTGTCCAGCCTACTTTGCCCGTGCCCGTGCAGGAAGTACTACAAGTTTATCCTCACTCGGAACTTCGAGGCGCTGAACTCCAAGGGGGGTGGGAACCAGGTGTCTCTGCTGAACATCATGATGGACCTGAAGAAGTGCTGCAACCACCCCTACCTCTTCCCTGTGGCTGCTGTGGTAGGTTCCCTGTGGCCACTAGAGCAGCTTCCCTCAGGCCGCTGTGCCAGGTCCATGTGGTCATCTGTCCCCTGGTTGGCCAGGGCCTCTCCTTCCTGTGTCCCCTCCACATGAGCCATAAAGAAGGGGACGCCAAGTCACCCCGAGACCCCTCCAACATTTGCATTGGGACCCCAGGGCTGGCCACACTCCTTCCCTCCGAGGTGTGGCCATGGCAGAGATACTGGAGCGTGGGGTCCGACACCCAGCCCTGGCACCGTGACTTCAGTAAAGTTAACACCCCTCTCTGAGCCTCGCGTCTTTCTCTAACATGAAGAGAGCTTGTAGAAATCTCAGGCCAGGGCTTCTCTCAGCCTGTTGGTCGTTGCCACTGCCAGGTCCCTGCCACCTGGGTTCTGATTTAAGCCCTCAATGGTACCAGGGCCAGGCAGGGAGCTGTGCTGGGGTACATGGCCTAGAGAACCCACAGATCCTTCTGGTACTGGTGTGTCAGTGCATGTCGCTGGAGTTTAACCTTCTGGGGGATGTCGCCTAGCCAGCCCTCTGTCCCTGTTGGACCCTCCAGGGACTGCAGGGGCAGAAGGCCAGCTTAGCTTTGGTGTGTTTGCTCCCTGAGATCTCAGCCAGGGAGCATGGCCAGGGAAGGGATGGGGTCTGTGCCTGCCTGGGAACAGTGTCTGCAACCACGGGGCCCTTGTGACTCCTGGCTTGTCCTAGGCCATTGATCCTGGCCAGGCCTGCGTATCCCCTGCAGCCCTTTTGGTGCCAGCCAGAGGATAGCCCCCCAAGACCCTTCTCTGATGCTCCGCAGGAAGCCCCTGTCCTGCCCAACGGCTCCTATGATGGCAGTTCCCTGGTCAAGTCCTCAGGGAAACTCATGCTGTTGCAGAAGATGCTGAAGAAACTGAGGGACGAGGGGCACCGAGTACTCATCTTCTCCCAGGTGGGCCAGAGCTCCCACCCTGGAGGCGGGGGGCCAAGCCTTGCCCGTTTTCCTCTGGTCCCAATGCCATCCCAGTGCTTGGGTGTTGAGGGTCACTCCCTGCATCCTGGTCTGTGCAGCCGTGGCAGCACTGCCTTCAGTGTGGTCAGAGGCCGGGCCATCCAGTCTCAAGTTTGACCATTTCTTCCTCCATCCCTTTGTCCACGTCTGTCACACATCAGGGGTACAGAGGACGCATCCCCCTCAAGCTCCTCAGTCCAGAGTAGCAGACAGCTCAGTAGACAGCTGCCCGACTCTGGTCAGCTGTGTTAGAGGTCATAGTGATGGACCCGTTAAGATTTGGGGGCTGAAAATGCTCCCCTGCGTCAGAGCCAGCCGCATTGCTAGAAGCAGAATCTGGAATTCTGCTGCTCTGTGTACAAAAGTCACATGGAAACAGCTACTGGTGCCTGCAGCCCCTCATGTACCCTGGGTGGGTGGTGGGCTGCAGGGTCCCAGGAAAAGCCAGGCCTATGACTGTGTGGCTGGGAGACAGAGTCACAATCTCTCAGCACCACTGCTAGTGGAAGACATGAGTCTGGGCAGAGACCTAGAGAGACCAAGGAGAAGAACTGCACAAGAGCTAGACATGTGCAAAAGGCACATGATAGACAGAGCCCTCCTGTTGAGAGTGGGCGGACACACCCTAGCTCTCCAACCTGCCACAAAACTGGATGCTAAGGCATCCCATAAAATAATAACAGGAATCCAAATGAAAACTACAGTATGATAGCCTGAAAAAGACTTCAAATAGACAAGCTTAGGGTCCTCAGAATGGCAAACACAGATGAACAAAGAAGAAATTAGGCAGAAATAGGTGGTAAGGAAACAGATAAGTCTGCATTTAGTCATTGAAATAAAACATTTCACCAGTGGATAAACTCTCATCCCCGTGGAAGAGATACTGAGGAATTGGAACACAGTGCTGAGAAATTTCCAATGGTTCAGTCCAGAGGGACAAAGATAAAATCAGAGCATAAAAGGTGTCTTGGAAGGCTCCAACAATCATCTGATAGGAGTTTCAGGAGAAAAACAGGAGATTGTGCAAAGCAGGATTTGACAAGTTTGTGGGCTTGGAAGAAAACATGAGGTCTCAGATCGGAAGTGCATGGCAGAACAAGCAAAGTCAGTAACGATGAACCAACCTGTAGGCACCTGGTAGGGAGAGTGCAGCACTTCAGACCTGGAACCTACATAGGAAAGAACTGGACAGTCCTCAGGCTTCTCATTACAACATATGGTGGGTACTCTGACAGTGTCTCCATGCACTGAGGGGAGCCGGCAGGTGACACTTTTATACCCAGCTAAATGATCTCAAGACCAATGGGGAATTGCCATGGTTATGGAAGCTCAGAAGGGACTGCTTTCCCAATGTTTGAGTTCCTTGGGCAGTAAGGGGGTGGGTGTTCCAAGAAGAGAATCAGATGATTGAGCAGGGCTATGGGGAGCATTGGGTTGCAGGGGAAGCCTTGAGTGCAGGTGAGGAGCAGGGACTTGTTCTTGGCTGTCCAGTGGGAGGTTGGAGGCCACATTCTCCACCGAGTCCTGCTATAGCCCTGCCTGGGTTCCATTTATCTTTCCACTCTGGGCTGCTCTCTCCTCCCAACCTGCAGTGGGGTCCCTGTTCATGTCCCATGGGGCTCCTGGCTCTGTGGCACCCCTCGCAGATCCCTTTCCCCTGCAGATGACCAAGATGCTGGATCTGCTGGAGGACTTCCTGGAGTATGAGGGCTACAAGTACGAGCGGATTGATGGTGGCATCACTGGGGGTCTCCGGCAGGAGGCGATCGACAGATTCAATGGTATCTCACTGCCTGAGGGCCTCCCAGGGACCCACCTGAGAATCCCTGAGCTGCTCCACAAACATTTGAGGGAAGCAGCCTGGCCCTCAGGTCACAGTGGTGTCCCTTAGCTTTACATGCTAAAAGGATTCACTTTGAGGGACCTATTGGGGTTCTAGGAGGCCCAGCAAATGACATTGCTCTCAACAGAATTAGAAGCAGACAAGAAGGAAAGCAGGTGGGGGGAGGAAATGTCATCTTTGTCACAAATGAAGCAGGTCCAGAGGGTTTGGTAAACACCAGATAAATCAGTGACAGTGGCACTGGGCAGAGTGTGGCATCCTCCACTGGGCCAAGGCTCAGGAGACTTTGGGGATTGCACAGGTTTACGTGGGCTCCTGGCCTCCCTGAGTGTGGGGGTGGCCACCCATCTGCAATGGGGTTGCGGAACTGGCCTCTGCCAGGGACCTAGCGCTGCAGTCCCCACCTGCCTTGTTCCCTTGCTCCTGTCACCCGCCAGCCCCCCCCACTGTCCCACCCCACCTGCTGGCCTCTCTCCCCAGCCCCTGGGGCCCAGCAGTTCTGCTTCCTCCTGTCCACCCGGGCGGGTGGCCTGGGCATCAACCTGGCCACAGCAGACACCGTCATCATCTATGACTCGGACTGGAACCCGCACAATGATATCCAGGTCAGCAGCCCCCCAGCATCCACCCTCATACCCTCCTGCTGGGGCTCCTCCAGTTCCCTGGGGCCTGGGAGTGAGGAGGAAATGCCTGGGGAGGGGAGCGGGGTGTCCAAGGCACACAGCTGCCTGTGGCTGCTGATCCCCCTCTGTCTATCACCTCTGGACCAAGGCCACAAAGGTAGCAGGAGGAGGGTGGGGCCTGTTGTAGGTCTGGGGAGAGGAAGAGATGGAGGAGGGGCAGGAGGCACTGACAGGAACAAGGGCTAAGGGCTAGGGGCTGTGGGACTGAGCTGCCAGGTGTCCCAGGGCACACTGCTCTGGGGCACACGCACGTCTGACACGTCTGTTGGGCACACACTTGGGTCTCTTGCACACAGGTGCGCAGCTGTACAGTCGTGGGGTGTGCTCGTGCACAGGGAGGTGCAGCCCTCAGACTTCTGCACACATGGCACATGTTCCACCAGCCCAGGCACTTTTGCCCTCCAGCTGGGCAGGCAGGGCAGCCCCTTCCTGGTTGCGCGCTCGTGCCGTGGCGCCCAGCCCTGTGCCCTGAGCCCTGGCTGTCTTTTTCCCCAGGCCTTTAGCCGCGCCCACCGCATTGGGCAGAACAAGAAGGTGATGATCTACCGCTTCGTGACACGGGCCTCGGTGGAGGAGCGCATCACACAGGTGGCCAAGCGCAAGATGATGCTGACGCACCTGGTCGTGAGGCCCGGCCTGGGTTCCAAGTCGGGCTCCATGACCAAGCAGGAGCTGGACGACATCCTCAAGTTCGGAACCGAGGAGCTCTTCAAGGACGACGTGGAGGGTGGGCGCCTTGCCCTGCCAGGCTCACCAGCCAGGCCTTGGGTGGGAGGTCTGTCTGTGGCCCCTGTGCCCTGTGCCACCTTCTCCTCCTCTGCCCCAGGCATGATGACCCAGGGTCAGAGGCCGGCCACACCCATCCCTGACGTGCAGTCCTCCAGGGGCAGTGCGCTGGCCGCCGGCTCGAAGAAGAAGCACGGCAGCACCCCGCCAGGTAGGCGCTGCTCCTGGGGGTCCCAGGGGAACAGCAAGGGCCTGTGTGGGGGGTAGGGGTGGCCCTGGGCACTCTGCAGCTGTGTCCCCATGGTGACTCCATCCCCCAGGTGACAACAAGGACGTGGAGGACAGCAGCGTGATCCACTATGATGATGCAGCCATCTCTAAGCTGCTGGACCGGAACCAGGACGCTACTGATGACACAGAGCTGCAGAACATGAACGAGTACCTGAGCTCCTTCAAGGTGGCGCAGTACGTGGTGCGCGAGGAGGACGGCGTGGTAAGGTCCCCGGAGGGCCTCATGGTGCCCCCCGCACCAGAACCCCGCCCTCAGGCTGAGATGGCCCTGAAGGCCTTGCAGCCAGGTGGTGCCCCCAAGGCTCTTGGGCACGTCTGCTGTGGCCCTCCTCCCTGGACTCCAGCTTTCTCACTCCATCTCTGAAATGCCAGAGACCCACCACCCCGTGTGGAGGCCTGGCAGGGGCCGGTTTTAGGCCTTCCCAGCTGGTCCCAAGTACCCCATCCTCCTGCTTTCGGTCACCTCCTTGTGGGCTGGACCACTCCTGGCCCAAAGCACATGCACGCTGCCACCTGCTACTTCTCCCTTCCCCTCCCTCTTGCCAGTTCCGATTCCCTGATGAGGGCTCCTTCTGCCTCTCCTGGGGGCCCACCGTACCCTAGTTTCTGCTCCGGTTCTCAGACCCTGAGTACCAACCCCCTCTCCCTTTGGGTCAGGAGCCCTCTGAGGGCAGGGCTGGGTCTCGTTCAGGGCAGCATCTCCAGGCTGGCTCAGGCCAGGGGCCACCATAGGAGAGTAGGACCAAGAGCTCGCAGGAGTGGGTAGAGGAACGCAGCCTGCAGCGGGCGGGCCTTCCAGATGCTCCTGGAGCCCAGGAGGGTGGCTGAGGTGGCAGGGCCACCCGGCCAGGCTGCCCCACTGACTCCAGCGCCCACGGCGGCCCCAGGAAGAGGTGGAGCGGGAGGTGATCAAACAGGAGGAGAATGTAGACCCTGACTACTGGGAGAAGCTGCTGCGGCACCACTACGAGCAGCAGCAGGAGGACCTGGCCCGCAACCTGGGCAAGGGCAAGCGCATCCGGAAGCAGGTCAACTACAACGACGCCTCCCAGGAGGACCAGGGTATGTGCCAGGCCGAGGCTGTGGGTGGGGGCTCCTGGGCCAGGCTGGGAGGCTCCTGAAGGAAGGGCGGGAGGTGATGGATGCCTGTGCCGGCCCTGCAGAGTGGCAGGACGAGCTCTCGGACAACCAGTCTGAGTACTCCATTGGCTCTGAGGACGAGGACGAGGACTTCGAGGAGCGGCCGGAGGGCCAGAGTGAGTTGGGGCCACTGCTGCACTGGGTGTTGGGGCTGGTGGGGGCCAGGTGGGGTTGGTTGGGGTCCCAGCTGACCAGGGACATGGGGGGCAGGCCCAGGGCCTCACCTGAGCATTTATGCTGGGCTGCTCTGCAGGTGGACGGCGACAATCCAGGAGGCAGCTCAAGAGTGACAGAGACAAGCCCCTGCCGCCTCTGCTTGCTCGAGTTGGTGGCAACATTGAGGTGGGGCCCGCCTGCACCCCATCTCTCCCAGTCCCTCTCCTCTGGGGTTGCCCAGGGTCCTTGCCAAGTAGAGATAAGAATGGGACAGGTGCTCATGTTGGCTGCAGGCTACCCCTCTTCCTCCTGCACCTGAGTACTCTGTGCCTGGCCTGCACCTGACCCAGGCCCACCTGCCCCTGCCCTCCTGCCCAGGTGCTGGGCTTCAATGCGCGGCAGAGGAAGGCCTTCCTGAACGCCATCATGCGCTGGGGCATGCCGCCCCAGGACGCCTTCAACTCCCACTGGCTGGTGCGGGATCTGCGCGGGAAGAGTGAGAAGGAGTTCAGGTAAGGGCCCAGGCCGCTGGCTGTGGCCCCCGTCCCTGTGGGCCTCTGCATGGACGGTGGCCGTCCTGGGGGTACCCTACCAGGAGCCCCTCTGTCCACAGGCTGGCCAGGAGGTGGGTGGCTCCAGCCGAGATATCCCCAGGGGTCCTGCTGGCCCCCCACTCCCTGAGCCCAGTCCCCCCACCCCAGAGCCTATGTGTCCCTCTTCATGCGACACCTGTGCGAGCCTGGGGCCGACGGCGCAGAGACCTTCGCAGACGGCGTGCCGCGGGAGGGGCTGTCTCGGCAGCACGTGCTCACGCGCATCGGGGTGATGTCACTGGTTAGGAAGAAGGTGGGTGAGCGAGCTGCACATCTTGGGGGCCCTGGCACTACCCAGGGGTCCGTGGTCACAGGGCCAGTGCCTGGCTCAGGACACGGCTGCCCAGGGTATATCCCAGAGTGAGGGACAGGGAGGCCGAGGCCAGGATGGCAGGTCACAGGGCCGAGGAGGGTGTGGGGACTGGCGGGGGAATCCAGCAAAGTGCACCTGTCTGGGTCAGCCTCGGGCAGAGATGTCCCCTGGCCTTAGAGCTGAGCCTCGAGCACCGCTGTCCCTGCTCCTCAGGTCCAGGAGTTCGAGCACGTCAATGGGAAGTACAGCACCCCGGACCTGGTCCCCGAGGGGCCCGAGGGCAAGAAGCCAGGCGAGGTCGTCTCCTCAGACCCCAACACGCCGGTGCCTGCCAGCCCCGCTCACCTGCCGCCTGCCCCACTGGGCCTGCCAGGTCTGGGGTTCAGATGAGCAGGGGAGGGAGGGCACTGGGTCATAGGAGGGTTGGGTCACTGAGCCCTCTGCATTCTGTGCAAGGTACAGTGTCCCAGCTGGGCGTGGTGGTGCACACTTGTAATCCCAGCACTCTGGGAGGCTGAGGGAGGAAGATCCCAAGCTTGATCTTAGCTAGGGTAGTTTAGAGACTCAACAAGACCGTGTCTCAAAATAATAGTTAGAAAGGGGCTGGGAATGGAGCTCCCAGCATGAAGACTCTGGGTTCAGTCCTCAGTGCCAGAAACCAAACTAAAACAACCAAACCCAACCTCTCCACTGGAAGTGTCCACCTGCAGAAGTGACTTTCTGCATAGTAGTTTTCTTTTTGCTTTGTTTTATTTTTTTGTACTGGGGATCGAACTTTTTGGGTCCTTGCACTTGTGAGGCAGTCAGCAGAACCACTGAGCTAAATCCCTGGCCCTGGGTATTGGGGTTCGAACTTGGAACCTTGTGCTTGCAAGACAGTGGCACTGAGCTAAATCTCCAGCCCTCTGGTTTTCTTTTTAATAATGGTGTTGGGATTCAGTTCTGTACACTGGACACAGTTCCCTCGTTTAAGCTGTCTTAGTTATTTTTCTCATTGCTGAGACAAAATACACAGCACTCACAAGTTAAGGGGGCAAAGGTTGATTTAGCTCACAAAGATTTAGATTTAGCTCACCTGTAGAGGTTTCAGTCCATAATCGGCTGGCTCCAAGGCAGGGCGGCCTCACAGAAGGGCAATGGTTCATGGCGGGCAGAAGGCAGCAAAGCAAGGAGGAGCAACCATGGCTGTCTGTGTTCCATCTGTCTTATCCAGGCTGCTTAGGGAAGGCAGCACTCACACCCTTAATCCTAGTGCCCTTGAGCCCAGCATTGTTCCATGAATCAGCCCCAGCATCACATATACTAGCTGCAGCCACCTCTGAAAAAGCCATCTGTGACTATGTGAGGCTTTGGGGGACAGCTGGACACAGCTGTAACAAAGGAGAGCTGTTCAGGAGCTTCTGCTGTATTTAGAGTTCTACTCCACCACCATGCTCACTCCAGAACATTTTCATCAGTCCAGTCAGAAGCCCCATGTTCATGTTCATTAGCAGCCACTTCCTGTCTCCCTCCCCCAGCCCTAGATAGCGGCTAACCTCTGCCTGCTGATTCTGGACATTTCATGTAAACAGAATCATGCACTGTGCGACTGATGCACATAATGGAAGATACATCCACACTGTAGTGTGATCTGTTCGTTTTATTTATTTATTTATTTATTTATATTTGAGACAGGGTCTTGTTGAGCTGGGGATTTAGCTCAGTGGTTCTGCCACCTGTCTCACAAGTGCAAGGACCCCAGTTTGATCCCTGGTACTGGAAAAAAAAAAAAAAAAAAAAAAGACAGGATTTTGCTATGTAGTTCAGGCTGGCCTTGAACTCTTGGTGATCCTCCTGCCTCAGCCTCCTGAGTGCAGGGATTATAGGTGTGTGCCATGACGCCCGCCTTGTGCATGCATTCCTCATGCCTCCTGTGGCCGGAGGACATGTCGTATACTGTTGGTCTTTTCACCGATGGTGTACATACAGGTTGTTTCTACTTGAGAAGTGCAGGGTGCTGCAGTGAGCCTCTTTCCCTGCCTGTGTGGCTTGGGCTCCCGATCGTCCCAGGTGTGCACCTGGAGTGGATTGCTGCGCGTGGCGCTGTGGGACCCTGCCAGGGACTGTAGGCCTTGTGCTCCTCTGATCCTGCTGTGCCTCGGCAGGCTGGTGCCTTCGTGATGCCAGCCACCCTGGCGGCTGAAGGGCTGGTTCTCTGTGGTTGTGGTTTGCATTTTCCCGATGGCAGGATTGGAGCATCTGTCTGTTCATGTGCTTTCTGAGCTATTTTTATATCTGTTTGAAGATGCGTCTGCAGATCCGTTGCCCATGTGTATTTTATTTTGTTATTTTGTTTTTGTGGTATTCGGGATTGAACCTAGGGCTTTTGCACTGAGCTCCATTCCCCCCGACCCCACTTTTTTTGTACTGGGATTTAACTCAGGGCCTTGTGCTTGCTAGGCAGGTGTGGCACCATTGAGCTACATCTCTGGCTCCCCAGTCCCCTTTTTAGTTTTAAAGTGTGAGACAGGGTCTTGCTAGTTGCCCAGGCCAAACTCAAACCTGGGCTTTTCCTGCCGCAGCCTCCCAGACTGCTGGGATTATAGATGTGTGCCAGGATGGCAAGCTTTTGCCCATTTTTACTTATTTGTCTCCTAGTGTTTTTCTGGTGATTATGTACTTATTTGGCCGAGGACTCAGCTAGCTGGAAAGCTGGACCAGACTCAGTGTTGGGCTCCAGTCTGGACCTTGTCTTCCGCTTCCCCGCTTCCCTTGCTTTACCCTGCTGCTCCATGGGTCCCTGGGGCAGAGGCCTGGCCTGGGCTCTCTGGATCGCCTTGGCCCTGCCTTCCCCTGCCACTGGATCCATCTCTTTTCAGACAAAGTGGATGCCCCACTGGGCTGTGGAGATGAGAAGGAGTCAGGGCTGCAGAAGTTAAAGAAGCCCCTGGAAGTCCAGGTATGGGACTCACCAGTCTGGACCATGGGGTGGAGGCTGGATCTGGGCCCCTTCTCAGGCCTCACCAGCCTTCTTGAGCTCTGTGTCCTGGCAGCCAGTTTGAGCCCTGGTCTGCGGCCCTGGTCTGAGGCCCCAGGCCCTGCAGCCCCCAGTATTCCCTTTCTAGACCCTGCCAACTGCCCTGGACAGAGTGGAGGGGGAGGACAAGCAGGAGAGCATGGACAGCAAAGACAGAGCCCGAGATGAGCGGCCGGAGGAGATGGAGAAGGCTCAGGCCTCTCCGGAGCAGCTGCCCAAAGGTAGGGTCAGGCTGGACCCACGTGCTCATCACGCACAGCCTCTGGCCTTAGCCTTGCTCCAGGCATTGCTCTGTCCCTGTGTGTAGGCCCTTAGGCCTGGGTTCTCTCTACGTGGGCTTTAGCTTGTGCTGCGCACAGACTGGGCTCCCTGGGCTGTGGTTTTTGTTTTCTTTTGGTACCAAGGATCGAACTCAGGCCCTTGCGCTTTCGAGGCAGGTGGTGAAACTGCTGAGCCAAATTCCTGACCCTGCTGGGCTGTGTTTTGTTGAGTGATTTCTAACTCTAGTTTGAAAATGTGGGTGTGTTTTTTGGTGTGGTTAAAGGCTGCTTTCTGGCTCAGTGGAGTCTTGATTCTGTAAATGTTTCTGTGTGCTTTCGAAGGATGTCTGTTCTGTAATTGCTGGGCGGAGGGTTCCAAGTCCATGTGTCAGAGTGTTAGATAAGGCTTGTTAGTATTTTTACCACCAGTTTTGGAGCTCACTTTCTGAGGCACTGCTTTAAACTCTCCTCCAGTGATTGTGGATTTAATCTCTTCTCCTTGCAATGCCAGATTTTGCCTCATCTCATTGGAGGCTGGGTTGTGTTAGGTGCATAATTGTTTAAGTTTTTACTACTTTTTTGGTGAGGTGCACCTCTAATTATTTTGTAATAATTATCATTTGTTGTGATACATTTTGCCTTAGGGCTTATTTTGACTGATTTATATTGATCTAACTTTATTATATCTTTGAGCTAAGAATTTTAATCCTTTACATTTATTGTAATAGCTAGACCTCCAACCCTGCTTTACCCTTGTACCCTGTCAACCTCTTTTGCTGTGTATTGTATGTGACTGTGTAACATAGTCCTACAAACTTGGGTATTGTGCCTAGGGTCTCCAGAGACTGAGGTCAAGTTAGCAGCTCGGCTGAGTTCTCACCTGTAGGATCTGGGGAAGAATCACTCCTGAGCTCCTTGTCATGGCTGAGCTGAGTTGCTCGAGGTTGGAGACCTGGTGGCCCATGTTCCCTCCCTCCACCCTCAAGCCAGCAAGAGTCACGGAAATGCTGTTCTGCCTGGAGTTCCTGACTTTTTTGCAACGATCCAGAGAAGACTGACTTTCTAAGGCCTTAGGTGGTTGAGTCTGGTCTGCTCAGGTGGCTTCCCTGTTTTAAAGTCACTGTGCTGCATGGCATACCAAAGCCACAGGAGAATGATTATCATATTCATGGTCCTGGACTCACGCAGGGCATGGGCACCAGGGGAGGGGAAGTTTTGGAGAATGTTGTAGGATTCTGCAATTAATATGTTTATTTCTAGACATTTCATCTGACTTTTTCCATTTTTTGGTCTTACTATGTTTTTTGTACAGGGGATCGAACTCAAGCCCTTGTGCTTTTGAGGCAGATGGCGGAACCACTGAGCCAAATCCCTGGCCACTTTTTGTCTTATTCTTTTCCCCATGGGATCTTTTTCTTTTTCTTTTTCTTTGAGGCAGAATCTCAGCATGCAGTCCAATCTGGCCTTGAATTCACTGTGTATCCCAGGCTGGTCTTGAAGTCATGGCACTCTTCCTGCCTCAGCCTCCTGAGTACTGGGAATTACAGGCTTGCGCCACCATGCCCGACTAGGGACACACCTTAGCATCTAAGTGACCTTGTTTTATCATCTCCAGACACTTGTCTGAGGTCTTGGGTCTGCTGGGTCTTGCTCAAGATGGATGGATCTTGGTGTTGTAGCTTTGGGTTGCCTCCTCTTTGCCAGAGCCTGGTTTTTTGGTACTGGGGATTGAACTTAGGACCTTGTGCTCGTGAGAGGCAGGCACGGTGCCCCTGAGCTACATCCTCCGTCCTCAGTTATATATTACTAATAGGGATAGAATACAGGGCTGTGCATGTGCTAGGCAAGTGCTCTGCTGCTGACCTACACACCAGCCTTGCTCATGCATTGTGCCCAGCATTTCTGGGTGTTTGGTGCTGAGCACATGGGCTCACCCTGTGATGGGTGCAGGGGCCCAGTGAGGAGTCAGTGGAGCAGGCCTCCGTGTCGTGGGGTTATGTTGGACCCTGAGCTACCCTGCTGACTGGTGAGGACCCCCGTGTCTTACAGAGGAGGCACCCCCCGAGAAGGAGACGGCCCCGGACAAGCTGGACCTCAGCCTCAGTCACAGCAGAGCGGACGGCGGGGACTTTAGGCCAGGTGTGGGGCTTGTCCACTGCATTCTGCTATGGGACCCTTGGCCTCTTTGGGGTGCCACTGGAGCCCTGGTCAGCTCTTAGGTAATGTCTCCAGGTCACAAGCACAGATGCCACCTAGAGAGCGGCAAGCAAGGTGGCCTGGAGGAATTGGGGCTCACTTCTGTGGACCTCTAGAACTCCATCCTTGGGTCAGCTCACTGTGTAGTCCAGGCTGGCCTCAAACTTGGGGTGATCCTCCTGCCTCAGCCTCCTCCTCAGCTCTTTGAACTTGTGCTGTGCCTGCTTGGCGATCTCCTGCCCTATTCCCGGCTAGGCCCAGAGCCAGCCTCCTTATGTGTGACAGAAGGCTGCAACTCATTCCTTCAAAGTCCTTCTTTGCCCTGACTCCTTAAGGACAGGGGTCCATCCTTCTGGATGGAGACTGAGTATGATCTGTGCACCCATAGATGACACCAAGGCTGATGAGAAGGAGGCCACTGAGACACAGCAGAATGGTGACAGAGAGGAAGACGAGGAGGGCAAGAATGGGAAATTCAAATTCATGTTCAACATTGCAGATGGTGGCTTCACAGGTATGGAGCCCTGTGGTCTGGGTGGATGGCTGGTTTACACTAGAGTGTGACTGGTTGATAGAAGGCTGTCAAATAACCATTCCTAGCGGCACCTGAGCCAGGGTCTGGTGTGTGGGGTCATAGCCGGTGTCAAGGGAGAGCTCAGCTTGGTGTGGAAGCAGGTCAGGGGACCTTGCCTCCTGCGCACTCCGGCTCTCTCCCCAGAGCTGCACACGTTGTGGCAGAATGAGGAGCGGGCTGCAGTGTCCTCGGGAAAAATCTATGACATCTGGCACCGACGCCATGACTACTGGCTGCTGGCAGGCATTGTGACGTATCCTTGGTCCGCCAGGTCGGGTGGCACTGCTGGCTCTGGGGGACCTACCTCACTTTCTCCTGGTCACTCACTTGGCCTCTGTTGTCACCAGGCCTTCTCTGTGTGTCTGTGTCCAAAATTCCCTCTTCATCAGGGCATGGTGTTCTGTAATTCCACACCTGCAATTCCAGCTCTTGGGAGGCTGAGGCAGGGGGATCTCCATGGGTTCGAGGTCAGCTTGGGATACATAGTGAGTACCTGCCACAAAAAGCAAAGAAATTCTCTCTTCTTGTCTGGACTCAGTCATTGGACCTAGAAGCCCTGATCACATCTGAGGCCATACTCACAGGCCTGGGTATGACTGGACTGTGGCTCAGTGACTTTTCCCATGGCTGAGACAGTGTGTGACACCCACCTTTTGAGAATGAAAAGCTTTACTTGGGCTCACAGCTGTAGCAGTTCAGTCCATAGTCCACTGGCTCCAAGGCAGGGCCACGGGGCAGAGGGGCCTGGTGGAGGAAAAGCTGCTCACAGCATAGGGGCAGGAAGCAGAGAGAAGGGAGGAGCCGGGTGAGGTGGACCCTCCCACACCACACCCCGGTGACTGCCCCTTCAAACCTGACCCGGCCTTCTACCTCTGATCTCCTCCCCTTCCCGCAGCCCTGCCTGGGGCCTCCAGACATAAACCATAAGGGACATGTCCACGGCTGTCAGGGCAGGGAGTCAACCCCGGGAAGCCTCTCCCATGCCCACCGGCACTGTCACCATCTTCGTGAGTGTACATACGCGCAGGGAGGCCTAGGCTCACTCCCTGTGTGGCTTTGCCTTGACGGTGCCCGCAGGCACGGCTACGCCCGCTGGCAGGATATCCAGAACGACCCCAGATACCTGATCCTCAACGAGCCCTTCAAGTCTGAGATCCACAAGGGCAACTACCTGGAGATGAAAAACAAGTTCCTGGCCCGCAGGTTCAAGGTCAGGCTCGGCAGGGCTAGGTGTGGGGGAGGGGCTGAGGGATGGGGGACAGGGGTGTTGGGCAGCAGTGCCCCTCCCATACCCCTCCACCTGGGGTCAGACAGTCAGTAGAGTAATATGGTTCCTGCTCTGGGCCAGGCCCCGGGTGACATGGGGTACAGGGGTCCAGCTTGATGGAAACTCCAAGGTGTGGCCAGGTCAGGTGAGGATGGACGGTGGGTGGCTGGATGTCTCCCTTTTTTCCCTGGTCCTAGGGTGGGTGCTGGGGATAGTGGCCATCCAGAGGGGCCCCCCTAATGCCCTGTCACCCCTAGCTGTTGGAGCAGGCGCTGGTCATTGAGGAGCAGCTGCGGAGGGCCGCATACCTCAACATGACCCAGGACCCCAACCACCCGGCCATGGCCCTCAACGCCCGCCTGGCTGAGGTGGAGTGCCTGGCCGAGAGCCACCAGCACCTGTCCAAGGAGTCCCTGGCCGGAAACAAGCCGGCCAACGCCGTACTGCACAAGGGTGAGCCACTGTGTCTTGGCCCGGGGCTGGGGACAGAGCGCCAGCCTAGAGGTGCGGCTCCCCCTGGGCGGACGGGGACAGTCCTGTTGTCCAGCCCCTCCTCCCTGGAGCTGTGGGCTGGCAAACCGCAGTGGGGTGCTCCTGTCTCCTGATCCTCACCAGGTCCTCAGGGAGAGTCTCCCTAGTGTCCCTGATGAAAGGTGAGGATCTCTGACGCTTGCTCAGAACTCTGTAGTCCTTGGGCTCCCTTCTGTCCCTAGCCAGCTCCCGGGGTGGTGGCAGGGTGCCGAGTCCGGGACCTGCTGGGATTGCTGACCTGCACCCCCACCACGGGCTGCAGCCTTGTCCTGGTCCCATCCCGCCCCAGCAGGACCACAGTTCTTGGGTTTGGTCAGGGCCTCTGTCTTTCTGCTTTGTCAGAAGTCCGGAAGTAGGGGCCCCTGGAGAAGTTCTTTGGAAACCCCCACGGTTCCCCCGTTGGCAACACTCAGCTGCCCTGGTCCTTGGAAGGCCTGACGCGGAGCGCCCCCTGGTGCCTTGCTGCTGGTCGTGTCGAAACACACCCTTGTACACGGACGGCACTGGCCGGGCGGCTCCCTGCACCCTAGGGGCGGGCAAGGTGTCCACCTCTGGACCTCCCGCCCTGCAGTACTTAACCAGCTGGAGGAGCTGCTGAGCGACATGAAGGCAGATGTGACACGCTTGCCCTCCATGCTGTCCCGCATCCCCCCGGTGGCCGCCCGCCTGCAGATGTCTGAGCGCAGCATCCTGAGCCGCCTGACCAACCGTGCCGGGGACCCCACCATCCAGCAGGTCAGGCTCATCCTGCGCTTCCGGTGCTCCTGGGCAGGTGTGGGTGGGCTCCGGACTGCACCTTAAAGCTGAGTCCTTGCCTCCAGGGCGCTTTCGGCTCCTCCCAGATGTACAACAGCAACTTTGGGCCCAACTTCCGGGGCCCCGGACCGGGAGGGATTGTCAACTACAACCAGATGCCCCTGGGCCCCTATGTGACCGGTAGGTGCCCGTCTGCTTCTGGGCAGCATGCACACGGGTGTCCTGCGGGGCCCGGCCTGCCCGCTGCTGTGGACACCGGCAAGCCCCCCTCACTCTCTTTGCAGACATCTAGCCGCCCCCGCAGCGTCCCCCCGTCGCAGCGCTGTTTTCCAGCCCAGGTGAGGCCCCGCGGGTGGGCAGCACTGCTGGGCTCAGCCTGGCTTCTTGGGCCTCGCTAAGGATAGCACGACGCCTGGTCAGCCCCCGCTGCTCTCTGCCGCTGGTGGGCACCCCAGGGAGCCATGCTTGTCTAACCTCCCACTCCCTGCCCATGGCAGAGGGTGGCCACAGTTTGGGGGTACTGCTGGCCGGGAGCAGGGGGCTCATTCCAGACCTCCTTCACGGGGGCACCATTTGTCCCCGTAGGCACTGTCCCCTGAGGAGGGGGGCGCTGGGAGGTCTTCTCGTAGGAGTCCCCTCCGAGCTCTGAGGTCAGCTCTGGCCACCTGGCCATCCATGCCAAGTAACCTGCCGATCTGCCTTTCCTAGCCACGCTTGCTGGGCCACCTGCGCGACCCCCACGGGAGAGAAAAGCTGCCAACTTGCAGGAGCCGGTGCCACTTCGGGACAAAAAGGGAAACCGAGTGATGCTGTCACCTGGAGGACGAGGCCCAGCCCGGCCAAAGTCCAGAAGTGCCATCTCTTAATTCAAGTATTCTTCCATGTGGCCTGTACCCATGGCCACGCGGATGTGCCCTTCCACCCCTCTCAGAGTGACTTCCTGGAAGAGTTCCATTTTCTGTACATCTTTGCACTTTCCCATTGAAGACTCGGACGCTTCTGTCTTGATAAAAGTTGGATGACGTGGAAGATTCTGGCCTGGAGCGCCCTGTCCCTGTTACCAGGCTCTGGACCACAAGGAAGGCTCCCTGACTGCCCGGCCAGGGAGGAAGCAGCACCGTCTCGAGCCCCATCCCATCTGCCTCTGTGACGACCTCTGTCCCCTCCCTGTTGGCTGTCCGGCTTGGTGGTGGGAATGCCTGGTACCAGGTCCGGGCAGGTGTTTCCGGCTCCTTCCTGCCAGGCCTGGGGACCCCCGATAGAGGCTGACTCGTGGGGACGGTGGGCACGAGTCTGTCCCTGGCCCAGCGTGTGAGGGCCCAGACTCTGTGGTTACCACAGGCTGAAGCATGTGCCCCAGAGGTGGGCAGGGCCACTGCCGGTTCCCCGTTTGCCAGAAGTGCTCATGCCATGGCAGGGAGGGTTGTGGTTGCTGGTGGCCCAGCTGTCCCCCTCACCTCTGGGTACAGACCTCCCTGTCCACAGGCCCCCGGGCCACAGATGCAGAGGAAATGGCCCACTGGGGTGCGGGGCTCATCTCTCTCCCATCCCTGGCTTGGCTATAGAGGTGACTTTCTGCACACGGCACTGTGTGCCTGCTGGGTTCTTGGAGGGTGGGGCCTGAACCCAGAGGCCTTGACCCCCAGGCCCTGCCTGAGTCCCTGCAGGAGCAGCCTGGAGCCTGGCCATCCCCTCCGGGGTGTGTGTCGGGCTGCTGGCTGTGGCTGGTCTGTCTCTGTCCCTCCCACTGGATTTCTAAGCGGGGAGTTTCCAGGGGGGGCCTGGGGGGGCCTGGGGGACAGAATCTCCGAGTGTGAGGAGGGGATCTTGGGCAGGGCCCGAACAGCTCTGGCTGGGCTCGGGGATCCCTGGGGGTAGCTGGGCCCTTGTTGAGCCCTGGGTGTCCTCACCTGTGTGTGGCTCTTTCTTTGAACCCCCAGAGGCCAGACCCCCAGACCCCTTCCACTGTGGCTGGCTTCCCACACACCTGTCTTCAGAGGTCTGAGCGGGCAGAGTGGGGCACCCGGGAGGTGGGGACCACTGCAAGGGGCCCTGAGCATGACATGGGCTGGGCTTTGCCGCTGGCAGAACAGGGGCCTGTGTGTCTCGAGTCGCATTTCCTGCCCCGTCAGCTCTTTGGTGGGGCCGGGTTGCTGCTGAACCAGCTTTGGTCAGAGGTCTCAGAGGAAGCTCGGGTGACACTGGCAGCTGGGTGTGGAGCCATGAAGAAGGGTGTTGTGTCCTAGGGACCAGCTGAGGGGAGAGGTGCCTCTGGGAAGCTCCCCTGCGTTCCTTGTATCTGTGGTGAGATCAGCGGGGTGCCTGGCTCCCTCCCAGTTCTGGGCGCCTCTGCTGTGAGGCAGAGTGACCCCGCCACCCTTGCTCTGGCTTCTCAGCTCCCAGGTGTCAGGTGGGGTGCAGCAGAGGGTGGGCTGGGACCTGGAAGCCGAGGTCACCTGGAGGCCCCAGCGTGGCTCAGAAAGGGGACCGGGGGGTGAGGCCACACTGCCCTCCGCCCACTGTTTGGCGACCTGGCAGTGCCCGAGAGAGCCAGTTGGTCTTCTCGAAAGGAGGAAGTGTGACCTCCCTGTTTTATACACCTGGAAGTTTACAGTTGTGGTGCATCAGCCCAAAGTTATTGGCGTTGTTGTGTTGATCTTTCCCCGCTTAATTTTCAGATTTTTTTTTTAACAAAGTATTTTTTTAGGTGCGATGACCCAGAAAGGGCCCGTTGGGTGTGTGTGTGTGTCCTGAACTCTTCTCGTAGAGAATGGAGCCGGCCTGGGTTGAGTGGGGGTCTGGGGGTCGCGCTCCCCCAGCGGAGGGACCTTGGGCAAGCTGGGGGCTCACAGCCAGGGGCCCAGTGGGGTGGGCTCTGGATGCTGGGCCCCTGTGAGTCGTGACCTGTCCCCCATCCTGGCCTGAGGGAGGCTGGACAGACTGCAGCCAGCACAGTCACCTTTACTTTGTACTGTGTGTGTATGTTTTGGTTTCTGTGTTTTAATAAACCCTTTGGCAAGGGAATGGCTCAGTGTGTTTTAAGGCTCTTGATGATTGGGAGTGGGCTGGGCAGGCCCATCCCTGTGCTTCGGGGTGTCAGGGCTCCCTGGGAAGGGGAGCCCCAGGCAACAGTGTGCTGGGCCACTTGACAACCCCAACCTGGCCATCATAATGGGGTGCTGAGGGAAGTCCTTCACCCTGGACCCTAAAAAATGTCAGCAGAGAATGTCTGGGGGTACAGGGGAGGCCCCCCAACCCTCTATGGGCCCCTGGCCTGAATCACTTTGGACAAGAAGGGGCGGATCTCCAGGGTGACTCTAGTGTGTCCCCACAGGGCCCTTCCTCCCATCCCACCATGGCTACAGGGCCTGGTTCCAGGGGTGCCTGCACCTGGCGGCCTTGCCCTCCTCCCTAGCACTGCCCCAGGAGAAATAAGGGGACGGGAGGTGCAGAGACCAATGGGCTTGGGTTTTATTTGTCATTCCATAAATACGAGGATGCTGTCCTGGAAGCTGGAGACGCGGAGGTCTCTGCCTGGGGAGATGCAGATAGCAGAGGAACCACAGTCTTTAGAAAATGAGAGGGAAAGCGAGTTATGTACAAGGCAGTGGGGCGAGAACAGGCCTGGGCCTTCACTGTGGGTTTGGGGTGAGCGGGGTGGGGCTCCGCTCAGCGATGAAGACTGATCCTCCAGACTGGCCTCTTCCTACATCCAGCTCTCTGGGTGAGGCCCTGGGCTGTGTTTCCAGGAGAGGACAGGGCAGCTGGAGTTTGGCCTCCCACCCTTCCCCAGAGGCCCCAACCCCAGCACACACAGCCTTGTTCTCCCTGCAGGTGGCTATGAGGGAACAGCCTCCTGGCAGCCAGGCTGTGGGAGGTGCCACTCAAGAGGCTGCTGGGGTCCTGGAGGCCCACTGGATGCCACAAATGTGGGCCTCGCCAAGGTCCTCCCAGGGTGCTTCCTTTCCTGGGCAAACACGGCCAGTAGGGATTCTGCTTTCCTTTGAGTGGCATGCCATGTTCCTCCTCCCCACAGCGGACAGGGCTGGGTACTACCTGTCAGCCAGGGGCAGGTGACCTCTTCCCGGATAGCCACCTCAAGTCCCCACAGAAGGAAGTGGCTCCAGCCGGGTGGCCTCTGCCTAGAGGGACATCAGTCCCTCTACACACCCACAGGATGTGAAGCTCTCAGCAGGGCTTGGTGGGGAAGAGCCCCAGGGCCTGGTCCAGAGGCAGCATGGGGGTTCTGGGCTCCAGGACCGGCCAGAGGCCCCGGGAAATGGAGGAAGCCAGATGACCTGCTTCCCACTTCCTCTACCACCTCCTCTGCCTGTGTCTCTGTGGCTATTATCCACCACTGTCCCAGGCCTCCACCCAGCCTGGGCAGGGGCAGGGGGAAACCTGCTTGAATGGCAGCTCCTCCAAAGGCTGCAGCAGGACAGGTGCCTGCACCTGCACGGGAGGGCGTGGGCTGAACAACACCTGCAGGGCTGAGGCACAGGTGGGATAGGGCACGGCTTCTGCACAGCCCTAGGCCCACAGTGAAGGCTGCATCCCACATAGGACCGTATCCGGGCAGCACTTGTCCCCATACCTGTGGGGCTCCTGGCTGTCACCCTCTCTCCAGCCCCTTGCTAAGAGCCTGATGCTCTGCCTGTGTCCTTCCCTCTCTCCTGATAGTCCTCGGTGAGGGGGTGTGGAAAGGAACGAACAACCTGGCCATGTTCCCTGGGAGAGGGTCTCTGGGCTCTTTTCCTACGTGGTAGGGATTGCTGCTGGGTCCAGCTCCCAGCTCCTGCACCTGGCTGGGCTGAGCATGTTCTCCTCAGAACCCAAGCCCATCACCCTTCCACAGGCAGAAGTGTTAGAGGAGGGACTCTGCTCACATAGAGGAACACAGCCACGTGCATGGGGCCTGGCCTACTGCCCCTGCCAGGTCCAGGCCACAGTGCTCAGCATGGGGCCTGCTCCCCAGGGGTCCTTCCCAAGTGCCCCGCCTCTTGGCAGGGGCTCTTTGATTGTGTACAGGATTGAATACAATAGGACAATTAGCCAGAAATCGGATCCCAAAATTTTTGTGGGTTCCCAACCACAGAGCCAATGCCTCTGGGGTCTCTGCCCCTGCCAGCAAGGGTAAGTGTGGGGCCAAGGGCCAGCTGGGTAGCTGTGACCCCTGCAGAGGGCACAGGGCTGGATCAGGATGAAGGATGGTGGGAGGGGTCTGGGGTCAGGCCCAGCACAATGTGCCTGGGGCCCATGGGAAGAGGGGGACTGGAGAGAGACCCCAAGGGAGGCCCCGCCCCACCCACTGGGGCCCTGGCAGAGGGGGCCCCAGGAAGTGCCAGAGCCCTTCTCCAGGTCTGGAGTTCCTGGCAGAAGAGAGGCCTGCCCTGCCTGCCTACCCTGAGGACCCAGTCAAGTCTTGGCCTGACCTTGGCGTTGGGAGTCTCCATGAAAGGCTGGGTACAAACTGGGTTTCTTCCTGGAGGAGGAGGGGAGGCTTCAGGCTGGCACCGGGTCAATGTCATCCTTGGCACAGACCCGACAGGGTCCAGCAAAGTAGCAGTGGTGTCCGACTGCGACTCGCAGGTCATGTCCGATGGTGCCTGGGCATGGCAGGTTCTCTGGGATACAAACCCACTGTGCACTTGGTGTGGAAACAGCATAAGCAGCAAACAGATGAGGAGGGGCCGGAAACTGTCCTGGCAGGCAGCGATGGGACAACTTAGGATCTGTAGTCCTTTTTGCTGTAGGGTTTATTGCCCAGAATGCTATCGATCTCGTGGACAATGGATGATGACAGTTTTGGAAGGACCTGTATGCAAGGACACAGCTAGTCAGACTCTCGAGCCCATTTCCACAGGCTCGACCTGACCGCCCCGAACCTGGGACTCCGCCCTGTGTTTCTGCCTTGCCCTGGCCCCACTCCTGTCAAGAGTACAGTCCTTTCTCTTTTATCCTTGTTGTTTCCCAGGGATTTGCACTGGGATTTCCAAGGCCTTTGCACTGAGCTACATCCTCAGCTCATTTTATGTTTTGAGTCAAGTTCTCATTAAGTCACTGAGTTGCCCAAGCGGGGCTTGAACTTTCAAACTTCTTGCCTCAGACTCCCAGAGTTCTGGGACTGCACCTGTGTACCCAGGCCCATCTAAATCTCCTTATTCATTTCACTGTTTCTGTGGCTCCTGCTGGAAAGGAGCTTCCCGGGTGCTGGGCTGAGATGACCAGGATGTGCATCCCGCCATGGCCCTGCCTCACCTGTATTGCTCCGATGTTCTCCATGAGCTGCTCTGCGTTGGAAGCACCCAGGAGCACGGAGCTGACACCCTCGTTCCTCAGGCACCAGGCTGAGAACAGCAAGATGGTGGTGAGGGGCGCAGGTCACTGTAGGGCCTTCTGGATCCCCAGGGTACCCGGAAGTGCAGCAGTGCTAGGCGGGGTTTTGCCTAGGGAACGGCTGGTGGGTAGTGTTCCCCTTGACCCATGGCTGGCAGATGGAGGGTGACCCAGACTCTAGGGACCCCTGCCACTCTCCTACTCCGGTCACAGAGCCCTTTCCTGTGGTCCCTAGGGGTGCTGCCCAGGGAACCCAGGAAGGCTCTCAGCTCCATTCCCTGTGGCCAGTGGGAGACACTGAAGCCTAGGCTCTCGGGGACCGCTCCTACGTCCCCCGGACATGGCCAGTCTCCCCGCTCGGTCTTACCTATCGCCAGCTGTGGGAGGGAGCAGCCCAGGCGCTCGGCGATGGCCTGCAGCTCCTTCAGCTTCGCTTGCTGGCGCCGGCCCTCCTCACTCAGGATCTTATCCTTTAGCCACTGGTAGCCCTGGGAGGGGACAGCTGGGGTGAGGGGTGGCACCGGGACCTCTGGATGCAGGGGGCCGGTTGGTGTTGCCTCCAGGCCTCCTCCCCTGCCCTGGCAGCTCTGTGGGCCAGGCTCAGGCAGGTGGGAGATGGGACAGTCCACAGCCTGTGGAGACCAGGCTGCACAAGTTACACAGACCTGTCGGGATGAGGACACTGAAGACAAGGACTGACTTCCTCCTCTCACAGTCCCTGGTGGAGAATAACACGGGGAGGGTCCCCAGATGGCGCCAGGGTACCCAGCCCCCAAGGCGGATGTTGTGCCCTGGTAGGGGGCCTGTCCTTAGAGTGGGTGGCCCTCCAGCTGTGGGGCTCCATCCCTGTCTTTGAGCCTCAGGGGCCATGCCAGGGTGGGAACAGTGCAGGCACAGCCAAGCCAGCACCAAGGCGTCTCCCAGAGGTCTCAGGCCCCAGCACCTCCTGCCCGGCCACCGCCTCACCTTCAGGGAGGCCCTGGAGTAGGGCGGGATGCCGCTGTCGTACTTCCCAGACACGATGCCACAAGCCAGTGGAGACCAGGTCATGGCGCCCACCCCTGGAGGAGAGAGGCCAGGCCAGGTCAGGGGTCCGATGGCGGGTGGGCTGGGTAGCAGGGCTGGGCCGGGGAGGGGCAGGGCAGGTAAGGTGCTCACCGATCTTGTGGAACAGCTCAGGCAGCTGCACCTCCACCTTCTCACGCTGGAACATGTGGTACTCGGCCTGCTCGCAGATGGGCGGGATCAGGTTAAACTGCCGGGCCACTGAGTAGGCCTCCTGTGGGTACAGAAGGGCCCAGGTGGCCCCGTGTCAGCTGCCAGTGGGGTGGACACAGCCCCGGCATGGCTGGTGCTGCCACCCCATCACCTTATGGGCTGTGCTGGGGGACCCCCAAGGCCGAAGGCTATGGGAGAGCACAATGCCACAGTGGACGGGGCTCCTGGCATTTGCTGGGCGTTGGGCCAGGAGCTCACCTCCCTGCCTTGGTTTCATCTGTCCTGAGGGTCCTCACAGCAGTGCTCAGTGGTAGTGGCGCTCAGAACCTGCCAGCCACACTGTGACTTTTTACCATGCTGTCTGCCTTGTAGCCCTGGGCCTGGGGTGACAGCGAACTGCAGCATGGGGGCAGCAGCTGCCCTAGCTTTATGGCTCTTCCTCTATCCCACCCAGGGCATGAGCGCAGGCAGCTGTCTGCACACAGACCCAGGAAGCCACCAGTGCCACCTGCGAGGTCCCTAACTCTGCAGAGACTTAGCTCCTCATCTGTAAAACGGGGAGGTGACACTGACAACTGAGCCCAGGGCTGGCTGCAGGCAGAGGGGGAAACGCCCGGCACAAGCTCACTGATGCCACCCACAGCCCAGCTCATCGCTGCCAGGGCTTCCAAGGTTGGGAAACCCTGCGGTTCCTCCTGTGAAGCAGGAAGCTGGGACTCATGGGAGCAACTATGGCGGCTGGGGGGCTTCTGGCAGCCTAGTAGGACAGAGTTAAGGCCGGAAGTCGGGTCAGGGGCTGGGCTGCCAGCTTGGGACAAGACCTCAGCCCTCATGCTGCAGTGAGGTAGCTTCTCCCTCTAAGCCTTGGAGCAGAGGGCTCCCTGGTGTCCCTCCCTGGAGCTCCAGAAATGTCACGAACTGCCTGCTGTCCCCAGCCCCAGCCCTGGACCTCTGATGGCCCTGTGGAGGGAGCTGATGGTTACTGGGACGCTTCCCTGAAGACACCCTAGACTATGAGGGGGAAGCTGAGGCCCTAGCGGCTGGCTCGTGTTCTAATGCAGTCACAGCCGGGGACTTCCACTCAGCCACGTGGTGTGGCCTGGAGCTCGCTGCTTTACCTCTCTGGGCCTCTGTTTCCATATCTAGAACCAGGGCAATGGCAGCACTTGCCCACTGGGGCGTGGTGGGGATTCAGAGGGAGATGGGCCCCAAGAAGGGCCCGAGGTCCTTACTGAGGGCTGGCTGGGACAGCACAGTGCCGCTATGGCTTCCCAGCATACAAGAGTCCTCCAAGGTGCAGCAAGGGCTGGGGTGGGTTCCTAGGTTTGATCAGCTGGTGGCCAAACAGCTACCCGTCCAGCGCCTCGCCATGCTGGGGCTCCAGCTGAGACCCATCTGCGGGGCCCCCCCC